TTTTTTTTTTTTTTTTTTGGCTACAATTTGGTCTAATAAAAATATTGCCTGTACCCCAAGAGTTTTATTAGACTGACTCCATCTTAACAAAAAAATAAACATTTTCTGCAAAGAAAAGCTTGCAAAGAGAATGTTTTTGCTATGATGTAGTTGGTCTAATAAAAGATATCACCTCTACCCCATGAGCGTTTTGTCTGCCAGTTAAATCTTAAGCACGATTTGGTTCAGCAGCTTTTACAAACCTGCAGGCGATTCCGGTGGAAAGGAATGGGTATGCTTTTATTTTGGGGCCTTCGAAGCCTATGAGCATGTCTCAAGAACTTGCAGTAAAGGTCATATCCTGCCACACAATTTGAATGTATTTTGCTTCCTCTTGCTAAACTTCAAGCTTCACTCATGAGAAGTATAGGAGGACCCTTTTTTTGAGAAGGAAATGGTAGCATGGGTAGAAACCAGGGCTGGCATTATGTGACTTCTGGTAAAGTTGCAGGCTCTACTAATTGAAGAGGGGCAATTAACTTCAAAGCTGGAACCCCCTTCAGATGGGACTAAAGGACCAGTCAAATGAAGTAACAGATAAGAAGTTTGGAGCCTTTTATGATCAAATATGGCAGCGTTGTTCCAAATGGCCTTAATTTTTCTAGGGAGATCTCAGAGCAACAGCAGTCTCCCTATGCCTGAAGAAGGGTGATTGCACCTGAAAGCTTGCAAAGAGCTTTGTTCCAACTACTCGGTTGGTCTAATACAAAGATATTGCATCTACCCAATGAACCTGGCCTGCCTGTGTCTGTAGGCCAGCTTGGCTACAACCAAATCCTTGGCTACTTGACTGGGGTTAGTGAACTCATCTACACAAGATTTTTTCCTTGAGTAATGTGTGTTTTTTTTTTCCTGCTGCATCCCTCACCTTCCAGGCCCTGTTGAAGTGTCATGTGTCTCCCACCCACCCTGTCTTGGCTTCCAGGACACTAACCTTGAGTCAGTCTAGTAGGTAGAAGGTTTGGGCATATTTTCCTAAACTTTCCAGGATGCGTGTTTTAAGGGAGAGGCAAGGAACTCTGCGGGGTTATCTCTGGGTACATGGATGGTGTGGAGTTGGAGTTTTGTTTTACTCAGGCCTTGACTCTCTTTGTAGAGACCAGACACCCAATAGGTGCATTTAACATGCGAACAAACTATCTTGTCTGAGTAAGTGGGGATTTAACTTCGCTTTCCAGAGGCTAAAGAAAAGTGGTGCTTGGTGTCCAAGTGGCAGGAGATGCTATCCTGAGATCAAGTAGGCATGCTAATTTTAAAACCATTAGCATTATCCTGAAGACCCTGGCTTTCATGGTTGGTACCTTCCTTGACTGTGAAAGTAAACAGTCCAACATCTCAGATCATCTTAATTGAAAAGCATACCAGCAATGCATATTTTCTTGACTGGCCAGTGTGGTACTGCCACGTGCAGTGGAGCAACCTTACCCTGCTGCATTGTGTCAACATTTAGCTGCTTTACAAGCGTGGACCTTGCATGGGAAGAACTTGCAGCACAAACTTTGGGTCATTCATAAAATCGCTAGTCATCCTGTTTAAATACTCTGTTTTAACAGCTGAGACCCCTTTAGCTGCTAGTCTGGTTTTGCTAACTAGGACCTTCATACAGATGCTGGTGAACTGGTTGTAGGCTGCTGTTCCCACCAAGCATATCGGATTATCTGTTCTGCTTCTGCTTTTATTTTTACTTTGTCACATGGATTTGAATGCAACACTGATTGGTCAGGGTGTCTACTGATGAGCTAGGATTTCTGTGTCATCTTGACTTTAGTTGGAGGTTTATTAATGCTTGTGGTCTGACCATGTGACATCTTAAAGAGAAGCTAATTATTTGGTATAAGGCTTTGCATTTAAAATATGGTTTATGAGCTTCTATGAAACGGTTGGGAAGGGGGAATAAGAACCGAGTTCTTCCCATTTTCACCAAAAATACAGCTAATCAGCCGTAGGCAATGAATTGTGATTGCAGTTTACAGGAAAGATGACAAGCTTTGGTTCCTGAAAATCCTGGTGGGAATGGCTCTTCATAGTTGCACATAGATAGACTTAACCAATGAATCTGAAGACTTACTTAATATTGAATAGTTAAGCTCTTTGTATAGGGTACTTCTTTCTTTTCTTAATTGAACCTACATTGTCAGAATCCGAGACCAGCAACATCCTCATGTCCTGAAATAAATGGTGAATCTACAGTTTGCAAAGGCATCATTTGGAAAAGAGGGAAGAGATTGACCAGTGAAGTCTGAGTGGCCAAGTATTGCCAGTATCTCCCAGGAACAGAGGAGCCCAGCATTTGTGAGAGGCCTGAATCAACTTAATCTGAAAGCATTAAAGAACATTTATTTAAAAAAACAAAACCAGTGAACATTAATTTAAACTTTTTTTTTTTATTGCACAGGTGTAAACCTCTTAAGTATGGTTTCTTTTTTGATTGGCTTGGTAGAAATAAGATTTTTTAAAGCAGTTGTAGATCTTATTTGAGGCTGCAACATGTTAAATGGTATAGGTCTTCTATGCATTATCTCCATACAAGTCTTCCCTTTTTAAGTAACACTGAATCCGATTCCTCATATTCCTACATACCTAGAGCTGTTTCCAGACTAATTTCCAGTATAAATGCATCACTAACTGATGCCAGTTGTGTAGAGAAAGATGCAGGGTAAACATCTGAATCCTTCAGTCTGACTGGGCATTTTTACACATGCTTTGGGATGTGGTACTGGCACTTAAGTTAGTGAGCTGCACTAACTAAAAGTGGCTGCACATCATGTGGATCAGCATCTTCCCCCACTGAAAAAATGGTGGCAGAGCGCTCTGAACTAAAGCTCATCAAACCTGTTTTATTTCAAAGCACCCTACCACCATGTTTTTCAGTGCTGCAACACTGATGCACGTGATGCAGAAGGTTGCCAGAGCGTGTCAGTCTCTGCGCTCTAGCAGACTCGATTAATCGAGTCTGCTCTGACACGCTGGATTTCCAGCATGCTGGAGCAAGTCTATAGGAGCCCATTTTATAAGCAGTTGATCACTTGGGGCATTAATTACAAATGATAATAGCTAATAAGTAATAACTTGCTCTTTTTTTTTTTTTTTTTTTGGTCCATGTTGCCTGCATGCATCTTTCCAGATGGATGCACTCTAGCCTAATCTCATCTGCTCACCGACAGGAGTGGATTGCCTAAATTCAGTGACTCATAATGCAGTTTATCCTAGTAGCTGGAGCTCCTAAAATTAGCTGAATTCACTGCTTCAGCTTGCAGCAAACGAGCTGTATGAACATCTTTAAGTTACAGCCCTTCTCATCCCAGGTGAGAATACAACAAGCCACCCATCAGTTCACTACTTGTTACTTTTGCTCTGTCTTGTACCTCAGCTAATTTAGTGACATTATTATTATTTTTTAAATCAGTATTTCCTCTTGGAAGTCAGGTGCTGGCTCCACTTCATGATGGACAGCTTTGTACACAAGTAATTATTGGAGGCAGCAACATAGTGGCTGAAGTTTCTAGCAGAATGGCAGCAGAGGCTTTTTCTGAACTCTGGTGTCATGCTTGGCACCA